CCACTTCCAAACATTGTTCCTCCCTTCCCCTTCCCCCCTCCCCAAAGCTCACCAGCAGCAGATTACCTTCAGTATTGCCACTGCTGCTGCTCAGGAGCCATGGGTTGCCGATCCCCCTGCTGGGTTAGCAGAGGGGAGGCTGAGGGGGGAGGAGAAGCTGTGGGACGCAGAGTGACATGATGACGTCACTCTGTCGTCCTGCAGGAAAAACTTTTTAAAATAATATAGATAGAAATGGGAAAGAAAAAGAGTGCCCTCTGTATTGGACTATGGATAAGGAAGTTAGAGGCACTTCCACTGCAGACTGTGAGCCCGTTTCCATTTAGTTACATGCTATGGAATGATGTCTGGAATGTGTTCCTTTGCAGAAGGGAAAATCCTCATGATGCTGTCGTTTTTCATCCCAAGAACTATGGGAAAACTCTCAACAGCCTTCCTGAAAAGAGGTGAATGGAAGGGAGAATTGTTAGGGAAAAAATGGGGTTGTGAAAAGGGATAGGCTTAGACTTCTCAAAATCAAAACTTCCTGCTCTTCACTATTTGTGAACTTCCTGTGTTAATGCAGTTAACATCTTGTCTCTCATCTGTCCCTCGCCCTTTTCACAGATTGAGGTGTTCTGAGAGTGTCATCTGAGTCTCTTTTTTCAAGTTAAAGTGAACCATTTGTAGGAATTAATGATAAAAGAATAAAAACTTAATAAGAATCCCCTGAACCATAATTATCACCATCACCTGGGATAAAATTGCTGCTGTTTGAATAAATGAGCAAGACCTGACTTCTCATCTCTGCAGACACCCATTGAGATCTGACATTTTCTAAAGTCTCCACAACCCCCAAAATTAATTCTTACCACCAAATATCTTCAAAGCACTGTGCACACTAAACTCCTCCTCCCTGTCCTGACTGACAAAGGACATTCGCCTTTGTTGTATTTTCATTGAAGTCAAGTGACTTAGAGCATGAGTGGTTGTGTCCCAATGTTTTTGTGACCCACACCACGGCCAACTCCCTCTCTTCCTCAGTCTTTCAGCTTCTCCTTATGCATTCGCCTACTCTACTCTGATGGTAATACAACTTGCTGGGAGCAAACATCTGCTCTTGCTTCTTAATTCAGACTAAGGGCTAGTCTACACTAGAATCACTATAGCAGCACAAGTCTACCAATGTAGCTTTGTCACTGTAGTACTGCTGATGCAGATAGTCTATGCCAGTGGAAGAGAGCTTTCATATTGCCCTAACTTCCTCCCCAATTATGTTAGAAAAGCATTTCCCACTGACTTAGCTGTTTGGGGTGGCTTTTCGCACCCCTGAGTGAAGTTACACCAAGCACTAGTATGTACAAGCCCTGAGAGATGCAGCAGGTTCCAGAGGTTACTTTACAAGGTACTGTTCTCTTTGGGGATGTCTCTATTGAAATTACCCAGAAGAGAGTAATCTTAATTAACGCAGAGAAAATAGAAGGAAGACACAAACTGGCTTGCTTCACACAGATGTAGAATTGTCTTCACAGGCTAAACTAGAGGTAGCTTGTCATTTTATTTATGGGCTTACAAGAAAAGGGAGTAGCGTACATTCCTTCAAAGTAGGCCTCTCTTTGGTCTAACTGGCGGCTCCCCTTGCTCTCCAGATACCTATCTAGAATTCTCCCCATGCAGTCCCCAGGCCTGGTTTATGAGGCCTCACTTTGCACACCCAGACGTGTTCCATGATTCCAAACTAGGGATGTTAAATTAAGTTTAATCAACTAATCGACTAGTCAATGGATTTTCCATTGACTAATCAATTAGTGGGGGAGGTGCAGAGGAGTTAACTCCTGCAGCTCTGCCTTTTAAATGTATGAAGAGCCTATCGACTCTTAATACATTTAAAAGGCTAAAGCGCAGCAGGAGTGACCCAGCACAAGCCAGGAATCAGCTGTCCCGGCTCATGGTGGGTCCCTTTTGCTGCACTTTAGCCTTTTAAATGTATTAAGAGTAGATAGGATCTTAATACATTCAGAAAGCAGGGGCGCAGTGTCTGGGACTGGGCGCAAACCAGGCATGGGCTGATTCCCAGCTCGTGCCCAGTCCCCGCTATCCCTCTGCCTCCCCTGCTCCCCGTGGAGAGGGTGCTGGGGGAAAAGGGCTTTTAAGCCAGCTCCCCACCATCACCAGCTCCTGCTCCCCCTACGGCCTCTGATAGAGGCAGCAGGGGCAGGGCAACTAGTTGAGGGATTAAGTCGACTATCTGAGAAGCTTTTTCTTATCAGATAGCCAACTAGTCGCTTACATCCCTATTCCAAACCTCTTTATTCCAGTTACTTTGGCAGAAAGTCGGGCTTGGGTAATGCTGTATTATATGGTGGCCCGCTGAAGATTCAAAGGTCCTTAACAAGGATTAGTGGCTGCTTTTCAAAGGCCTAACAACCTACCGCAGGGACTGTGTTTCACAGACCAGGTTGTCTGGTTGGATCTAGATTAAGTCATGCCTCGTGTTACATTTCTCAATTTTTCCTTCTGCTGATATGAATGATGGCTACATCCCCCAAAATCCATTGTGACTAATTGAAAAAAAGTATATCCCTGAAAGTTCCTAACCTGGCCCCAGATAAAGGTGAGGAAATTAATCTAATTCTGTTTCACTGTTTTTCTTGTTTCCTCTGAAGCGTGGTTGGAACCAGTTCACTTCGTCGAGCAGCTCAGCTGAAAAGGCGGTTCCCTCAGCTGGAATTCAGGGATATTGTATCCTTTCCTGGCAGAGTGTGGGAGTGGTAGCTCAATAAATAACACTTCGTTTTTCTGTAGCACTTAGGCTTCCTGAATTCCAGTGCTATGCTCAGACTTACAGATCATGCTGCCTCCCTAAACTACTGTGAAAGAATTTACTTTCCCTGGCCTTAGCCAGTCTTTGTGTTTTTTGTTGAGAAAGGGCCCAATATTAGTTTAACTTCGGAAAGACAGATACACTTCATGGGAGGAACTGACATAAGACTCACAACTCATTCCAGTTCTGTCACTAATGGCTTTGTTGGGATTTGTGAAGTAATCATTTGGACACTGCTTCTTTGTGGCTGGGACTGTGGACATATCTCATGTAGCACTGAGCAGGTCAGCAACCAAAATAATAATTGTGAATAATAATTGTGCATAATTTGATTGTATTAGCCAGCCTTACTGGGCCCGGCTTTGCTGAGACCACGTTTGGCTCACTTTGCTTTTATTGGCTAATAAAACTGTCTGTTTAGCCGCGTAAACTGAGTGAGGCGTTGGCTTCGACATTAGGCATTTTAGAACGGAGAGAGATAAAAATTATGAAATGCACAGAACAGTCAAAAAACTAACCCACTTTGCGAGTAGTAACAGCAGTAACAACAACCCCCCACGTGTGTTGTCAGAAGATGAGTACAGAACAAACTGTGTTTGTAAGAATGACAGGTGAGTGTGAGTGTGATTGGCATTGCCGTGCTCCCTCCATTCCTGTGTGGAGATGAGGTACAGAAGTGGGGGGGTGGAGGGACACACACACATAGCGCCCCCTCTTTTCCTCGATTGCTCGGGGGGGGGGGGGGGCAACTCCACGGCAGAGGGCAGGAGCAGCGTGACAGTGGGTGGAGGAGCAACTGAAATGCCAGCGCTTGATAGCTTCATGGCCAAGCCAGTCGGGATCACCTGTAAGAGGCTCCAGGATCTATCTGTAGATCCCAATCTACTGGTTGGTGACTACTGGTCTATGCCTCATCTCTTTGAGTTTTCACTCCTTGAAGTTGTCTCTTTCCTTTCATTCTCTGGGGGAATCTTCTCCTTTTCTCTCTTCCATAGTGCTTCACTGGGTCTTTGGAACACTGTGTTATACTGCTCAGCCAGTAGTAGGTTGCCCTGTGTGTAACCTCTTGTTCAAGCTAATCCAGCCATACCTGACAGCGTTTTGAAGGATCTTTTGAATACGCATCCGGTGTGTATCTCTCAGAAGGAAGCTCTAGAGTTGGTCTGTGTGTGATCCAGAAGCCTGACATGGTGGCGTATGACACTGCATACCCTATCCCTTGTGGGCAGTAGATGGCTAAAGTGCTGTTGGAGGGACAAAAGTAAGGCTGTGTCCAGACTCAGGGGTTTTTTCGAAAAAAGTAGCCTTTTTTCGAAAAAACCTCACCTGCGTCCAGACTCAAGCCGAGTTCTTTTGAAATTAAATCGAAAGAACGCGGCTTTTCTTTTGATGGCGGTAAACCTCATTTCACAAGGAAGAACGCCTTCTTTCGAAAGTTCCTCTTTCGAAAGAAGGCGTTCTTCAATGTAAATAGGGCTTCTTCGAAAGAGAGCATCCAGACTCACTGGATGCTTTCTTTCGAAAAAGCAAGCCGCTTTTTCGAAAGTTCAACGTGCAGTCTAGACGCTCTCTTTCGAAAGAGGCTTGCAGTCTAGACATAGCCCAAGAGGGAAAGGCCCAAGCAGAAAAGAGAGTAGGCTGACTAGCTGGAGGAGCACCTTAAAGCTTAATATTTGTTAGGGCACAAGTTTCATAGGCAAAAATCTACTTCATCAGGGCATTGCTTATGCCCAAGTAAATCACACTTCCTCTGACTTCCCTTACTCCTTGTGAAATGAAGGTTACAGGAGACAGAGTAAGAAGTCCCCCAGCTCAACAGGAATTGGAAATAATAGCTTGCTGCGTAGACACGCGTGCTATGTTATTTTGAAATGATGTCCGTTATTCTGAAACAACTCTGCTGTGTAGACGTGCCCTAAGTCTTTAAGGTGCCGTGGGAGTCTTCGTTTTTAAGGATACAGGTGGCTACCCTTCAGAGAGCTGCAGGAGTGAGAGCCTGTGGGTGAGTGCAGCAGTAGCAGCCTCTACTGACTAAGCTAAGATCTGCAAGCAGCGTCCCAATGTGATGATTGAGTTCCAACTTATTTCTGTGATTCTTACTTAACCCTTTATGTAGAGAGGAAATTTAAACACCCGGTTGAAAAAACTGGATGAAAAGGAGGATTTCAGTGCCATAATTCTGGCTGCTGCTGGACTGAGGAGGATGGGCTGGGAGAATCGTATTGGTCAGGTAAGGAGAAATGTGGGAAATTCTATCAACGTACAGACCCTTAACACATTCCCTTTCAGGCCCCTTAGCTGCCCTGCCATGGATGAGTGTGACAGCTGATCTGAGTCCTTATAAACATTATCTTGAAATTAGGCTGCAGTGGGGCAAGTATTTGGCTTACTGGATTTCCTTTCCATTCAGTACTCTTCATCTGGAAACTTCAGAGACATTTTTAGTGTCCAAATCCTCCACAGACTGACACTTTAGAAACTTCTGAATTCTGATAAAATATTGTAACTGCAAATTAAATAAGTACATTATACCCATTTTATAGATGGGAATACTGAGGCATGACCCTCTCCAGGTAGTACATACAATGGCAGAGTTGGGAATAGAACCCAGGAGTTGTTACTTTGAAGTTCCTTGCTGTAACTACTTAATGGAAATCATTTCAATCCCATCCTGAATTGCTGCTTGTTAGTCAGTTTTAAATAAAATTACAAAATCTTGAATTTAGCACCTTGGTGTATTATCCTTTGCTTTTTCTCTAGATCCTAAACCCTGAAGATTGCCTTTATGCTGTTGGACAGGTATGTTATGAAAAGCCAGCTGAGTAGCCAATTGCTGTGTAACTACAATGTAAAGTTACTGGGTAAACCCATCACATCACCCTTACCAACATGCTTGCTGATTAACCCACAGGCTGGAGTAGCCCCTCTGACCACAGGATCCTAGGTAAATGTTACATCTCTAGTAACAACCCAACATTTCAACTGAGTTTTCACGCTCTGATACCCTGCACCTCTTCTGGATGCTGTTCTCGAGAAGTGCACTGCAGTTCTTGTTTGAAGGAAAGCACCTCATTACTGTTGTATGTGACCATTCTGTTCTCAAGAAGTGGCCTTTCAAGAAGATACTAAGGCAAATAGGTGTCAGCATCTGTATATAGAACAGTCAGTCTGAAGCTCACTTGAGTAATGTACAACTTTTTCTTTCTGCTTGCATCTTGCCACTGTGTTATTTCAGTGGGATTTGCCAGTGTGTGTAGAGGATAGAACACAACAGTGGCTTTGGAAATACTTCTGAGTCATGAGGTTTAGGGGTTTGGGACTGTCAGTGCAGACTGAGGAAAATATTTCTCTTTTCCTTCAGGGTGCCTTAGCAGTAGAGGTCCGAGCTAGAGACCAAGAGATACTGGATATGGTATCTGCCCTGAACGATGGAGAAACGGTGCTATGTTGCATTGCCGAGAGAGCCTTTATGAGACACCTGGTAGGTTTGGGACCATCACTCTTTTGTCTGCTACCTTCCTGTGGGAGAAAATAAATGCCATGAGATCAGAAACCTTCTAGTTTTCATTATCATAACTGCCAGCTACAGACTAATGTGTCTGTCCATGCACACATAATTTGTACATGGCTGAATGACACGTGTCTCTCATGCAGGATTTTCAAAGGGTCCTGACATGGTGGATTACATAGAAACCTTGACATGAACTTTAGCCTGTTTGCTGTGTTTTTGTTTCAGGAGGGTGGATGTAGTGTTCCTGTAGCAGTCAATACCATGCTGAAAGACTCCCAGGTGAGCAAAACTTAAATGTATTTTATGTGTAAGCATCACTGAGCATTTTCCCAGCACACACTTTTTCCCTGCTACCTAAAAGCAGACTTTGCAGCTGAGGATAGCCTTATCTCCATACTGAATCCACCAGAACAACATTGTTTAAAACCCTGTGTGACGGACCGGGCCGTGTCTGGGCACAGCTTAGGGCGTCCGCTCAGGGCGAATTGCTCAAATCCGGGGCTCTTTACAGTCCCCCTGACTGGCGACCTCTCCAAACAGGCCACAAACCAGTCTCACAGAGCGCTTCAGCAGCCTGCCTGAAGCCTCCCGAGCAAAACCCCTCCGACACCCCAGCAATATCCGTGCCCCAGATGGCCCCGGGCCTATACACAGGTGGGGGGTCCTAGCACCCAATCCCACCTACCCCGAACAAGTTCTGTCCGGTTCCAAGAAACCAGCCACAGATCCCTGGTCAATTTACCCTCTGGACCTTACCACAAATCACGCTGGGCCAATCCTTTAGAATCTATATCTAAAGGTTTATTATTACAAGAAAGAAAAGCCTGAGAGTAAGGTTACTAAAGTACAGTACGTTACATGCACCGAATCTCCCAGTCCTCGATGCAGGCTCTAGCAGAGATGTTGCAGCTGCTGGTTAAAAGTCCTTATTGCACATCCTACGATCAGGATGGGTTCCCAGGTCTTCCGGGCTCTTCAATCCCTGCAGTGCTGCCTCCGGGATGAAGTGCTGAGCTGAGAACCAAAATGGCCTCGACCACATGGCCTCTTTATACTCCTTCCTGGCCTCTTCTGGTCTCAGCTGGTCACCTGGTCCTCAGCCTCTCTCTGCTGGCAGCTCTTGGGTCTCCGCCCTCCTCTTTAGGTGTGTCTTTGGGCCATCAAGGGCCATTGTCCCACAGGGCTTTGCTACCCAGCCTGTCCATAGCCATGCTTAACCACATTCACAGAAATATTCAGCTTCCCCACAGATTACAGATTCCTACCTACACACATAGACATTATACATTCACATAAATAGCGTACATAAGATCAGCAAACAATTCAATCCCCATTCAATCCCCCCATACCAATTTCTGGGGCCAACACCCCCACCCAGGGGTGCAGCAGCGATCTGGCTGCTTCCCTCCAATTCAGCAACGTGACACCCTGTCCAAACCACCATGGCCAACAAAGGTGTAGAGCTAAAAAAGTCTTTGTGTTGGGAGGATATAATAGTTCACCCTCTCAATAATTATGTATGGTGATTCTCATTCTCTCTAGTTACATCAGTTTTCTGGGGCCTAGAAAGCCTATTTCTTTGATACAAAAAGGAAGCCAGACTAAAAGTGTGTGCTGTCATGAAGGAAACCATCATTTTAAATAAATGGTGTCTGTCTCCTACTCCTTGGAAAAGAATTATAGAATCATAGAACCATAGAGCTGGAAGAGACCTCAGAAGATCAAGTCCAGCCCCCTGCTCTAGGCAGGACCAATCCCAACTAAATCAACCCGGCCAGAGCTTTGTCAAGCCGAGACTTAAACCTCCCTAGAGAACCCATTCCAGTGTTTCCCCACCCTCCCAGTGAAATAGTTTTTCCTAATATCCAACCTGGAACTCTCCCACCACAACTTGAGACCATTGCTCCTTGTTCTGCCATCTGTCACTACTGAGAACAGCCTCTCTCCATCCTCTTTGGAACCTCCCTTCAGAAAGTTGAAGGCTGCTCTCAAATCCCCCCCTCACTCTTCGCTTTTGCAGACTAAACAGACCCAACTCCCTCAGCCTCCCCTCATAAGTCATATGCTCCAGCCCCCTAATCATTTTGGTTGCCCTCCGCTGGACCCTCTCCAATGCGTCCACATCCTTTCTGTAGTGGGGGGGCCCAGAACTGGACACAATACTCCAGGGCTGTCTCTAGACTGGCAAGTTTTTCCGCAAAAGCAGGTGCTTTTGCGCAAAAACTTGTCAGCTGTCTACACTGGCCACTTGAATTTCCGCAAGAACACTGATGATCTCATGTTAGAAATCAGTGCTTCTTGCGGAAATACTATGCTGCTCCCGTTCGGGCAAAAGTCCTTTTGCACAAAAGCTTTTGCGCAAAAGGGCCAGTGTAGACACCTCAGATGTGGTTTGCGCAAAAAAGCCCCGATCGCGAAAATGGCGATCGGGGCTTTTTTGCAAAAGCGCGTCTAGATTGGCCACGGATACTTTTGCACAAAAGTGCTTTTGCGGAAAAGCGTCCGTGCCAATCTAGACGCTCTTTTCCGCAAATGCTTTTAACGAAAAACTTTTCCATTAAAAGCATTTGCGGAAAATCATGCCAGTCTAGACATAGCCCGGATGTGGCCTCACCAAAAAAGGGGAATAATGACATCTCTGGATCTGCTGGCAATGCTCCTCTTAATGCAACCTAATATGCCATTAGCCTTCTTGGCTACAAGGGACACTGTTGACTCATATCCAGCTTCTCATCCACTGTAACCCCCAGGTCCCTTTCTGCAGAACTACTACTTAGCTGGTTGGTCCCCAGCCTGTAACAATGCTTGGGATTCTTCCGTCCCAAGTGCAGGACTCTGCACTTGTCCTTGTTGAACCTCATCAGATTTCTTGTGGCCCAGTCCTCCAGAAGGATTGTGGAGGCAACATTCTTGCAAACTTGCTATGACAGTACAGCAGCCTTTTTTGGAATGGTGACAGTTACATAAATGCTTGTGCTTTGCATCTTTCTCAAAGTATATGGATGATTAAGGATGTGACATGACTAGCCCCTTTAATCATAGAATCTCGGTATGCCTCAAAACAGAAATAGGCTTAAACTGAGCCAGAAATGCAGCAGTTTGTCCAACAGCACATGAGCATCAGTGGCAGAATAACGGATAAGAAATGTGAATTTTTACGAAGATGCTTGAGTTGGTCAGAGATGCCACATACCTTTGTGTGTTTTGCCCAGTTGTATTTGACAGGAGCGGTCTACAGCTTGGATGGATCAGATAGCCTGAAGGACACGATGCAGACTAGTATTAACTACTCACAGCAGGTAAATAAATGCCTCTTACTTTCAGTTTGTTTTAACCTTTTAAGTCAAATGAAAAAATCCCCGTGCCTTTTTACCATTTTCCTTTATTTCTTTTAGTCCAGTCCTTAGTCTTTTGTCATCTTTACATTGTTCTCTGATAAGAATGTATATGGCAACCTACTCCAACACCCACTTTTCCTTGCTGTTTCACATGATCTTTTTTATTTTTAGAATGAAGAGGGATCCAGTGATGATGCACAGTATGTTGGCATAACAGCGAAGAATATTCCTCCTCATGCTCAAGAGGCTGCAGAAACGCTGGGTGTTGAACTAGCTAGCTTACTGCTAAGTAAGGGTGCTAAGCATATCCTCAGTGTTGCAAGGCAACTCAATGATGCCCGATAAACATATCATTTGCACCTCCATCACCACTTGCAGTTGGTATGATTCCTGCAGGTCAGAAGTTTGACAGCAAAAATGGATTCAACTGCTGTAGTCATCCTTTCTGAAAGGGTGATCTCTTAATTTACTAAAATCCCATTTTTCTTGTGGATCTGAAAACAAAATTTAAAATATTAAACTTTGTCATTTGATTACTTGTTTTTGTTCAGAGGATAATCCTATTTGCAATTTCTCCTACAAGCTCTCTTTGGTTGGTGTTTCAGCAACTTGTTTACCCCGCTAAACAAGCTCTTTTGAATACAGCCAAGGTGGAGGCCATCAGAGATTGGCTGGTTCCTCAGACCAAGAAGCAGGTCCAGGCTTTCGTTGGGATGGGGAGTACTACCAGAGGTTTGTGCCTCACTTTAGCTCCATTGCCAACCCTGACCATGGAGCTGTGTAAGAAGGGGAGGCCAGACAAGGTGGTCTCGACTGAGCAGTGCCAGAAGGATCTCTGTGTGCTGAAGGCTACCCTGGTCAAAGCTCCAGTGCTGGTAAATGCAGGCTTTGACAAGCCCTTTATGGTGTTTACTGATGCCTCAGACACTTGGCTGGGGATGGTGCTGATGTAGGTGGATGAAAAGGGGGAGGGACACCCCCACCGTGTACCTGAGCAGGAAGCTGCTGCCCTGGAAGCAGAGCTATGCAGCCACAGAGAAGGAATGCCTGGCTGTGGTGTGGGCCCTTCGAAAGCTGCAGCCATATGTTTTTTTGGCAGCATTTCACAGTGTACACGGAGCATTCCCCCCGATCTGGCTGTACCAGATGTGTGTGTGGGGGGGGTCAACGCTAAACTCTGGAGGTGGTCCATGTTAAGGGGAGTGCTAATGTCATAGCTGATGTATTATTCCAGAGTGGGGCATCAGAACTTCCACTGGCTGACTGACCCTGCTCAGTTCGGTCTTGAAGGGGGGAGAGATGTGACGTAGTGGGGGTGTTGTCCACTTTTGTAGTGCTGCGTTCACTCTTGTTACACTCACTCTTTACTGTATTCTGCTGTGTATGATCCCTATTGTCCAGGGCACTGCAACACTGTCCGGAGGATGACTCACTGTAGCAGTGTATTCGGCCTCATATCTGAGGGCCAGACATAAGAACATAAGAATGGCCGTACTGGGTCAGACCAAAAGTCCATCTACCTCAGTAGCCTGTCTGCCAACAGTGGCCAGCACCGGGTGGACAGAAGACAATGATCAAGCAATTTGTCTCGTGCCATCCATCTCCAGCCTCTGACAAACAGAGGCCTGGGACACCATTCCTATCCCCTGACTAATAGCCTTTTATGGACCTAACCTCCATGAATTTATCCAGCTTCTCTTTAAACTTATAGTTCTGGCCTTCACAGCCTCTGGCAAGGAGATCTCACAGTGCATATTCAACCTGTGGAAGAACTTTCTTTTATTAGTTTTAAACCTGCTACCCATTAATTTCATTTGGTGTCCTCTAGTCCTTATATTAGGGGACCTAATGAATAACTTTTCTTTATTCACCCTCTCCACACCACTCATGATTTTATAGACCTCTATCATATACCCCCTCAGTCTCCTCTTTTCCAAACTGAAAAGTCCCAGTCGCTTTAGCCTCTCCTCATATGGGACCTGTTCCAAACCCCAAGGCCAAGCAATTTTTTTTGTGGGGGGCGGGGGTGGGGGGGAGTGAAGAGACCACATCTATGCACAGTACTCAAGATGTGGATGTAACATAGTTTTATACAGGGGCAGTAAGATATTCTGTCTTATTTTCTATCCCTTTCTTAATAATTCCTAACATCCTATTTGCCTTTTTGACTGCCGCTGCACACTGTGTGGATGTTTTCAGAGAACTATCCACGATAACTCCAAGATCTCTTTCCTGATTTGTCGTGGCCAAATTAGCCCCCATCACATTATGGCTACGTCTACACTGGCATGATTTTCTGGAAATGCTTTTAACAAACGTTTTCTGTTAAAAGCGTTTTCGGAAAAGCACGTCTAGATTGGCAGGACACTTTTCCGCAAAAGCACTTTTTGCAGAAAAGCGTCCGTGGCCAATCTAGACGCGCTTTTTCGCAAAAAAGCCCCGATCGCCATTTTCGCGATCGGGGCTTTTGCGGAAAACAGTACTGTGCTGTCCACACTGGCCCTTTTGCGCAAAAGTCTTTCGGAAAAAGACTTTTGCCCGAACGGGAGCAGCATAGTATTTCTGAAAAAGCACTGACAATCGTACATGAGATCGTCAGTGCTTTTGCGGAAATTCAAGTGGCCAGTGTAGACAGCTGGCAAGTTTTTCCGGAAAAGCGGTTGATTTTCTGTTAAAACTTGCCAGTCTAGACACACCCTATATGTATAGTTAGGATTATTTTTTTCCAATGTGCATTACTTTACACTTATCCACATTAAACTACATTTGCCATTTTGTTGCCCAATCACTCAGTTTTGTGAGATCTTTTTGAAGTTCTTCAGTCTGTTTCTCTTGACTAACTGAAAGGCTGTGTCTGCATTTGCACCCCTTTCCGGAAAAGGGATGCTAATGAGACACTGCGGAATTGCAAATTCCACAGGGGATTTAAATATCCCCTGCAGCATTTGCATGAACATGGCTGCCGCTTTTTTCCGGCTCGGAGTTTTGCCGGAGAAAAGTGCCAGTCTAGACGGGATCTTGCGGGAAAATAAGCCTACTTTGACCCTTGGGATACACCACTAGTTACCCCTCTCCAATCTGAAAATTTACCATTTATTCCTACCCTTTGTTTCCTGTCTTTTAACCAGTTCTCAATCCAAGAAAGGACCTTCCCTCTTATCCCATGGCCATGTAATTTACACAAGAGCCTTTGGTGAGGGACCTTGTCAAAGGCTTTCTGAAAATCCAAGTATACTATATCTACTGGATCCCCCTTGTCCGCATGTTTAACCCCTTCAAAGAACTCTAATAGATTAGTAAGACAGGATTTCCCTTTACAGAAACCATGTTGACTTTTGTCCAACAAATTATGTTCTATGTGCCTAACAATTTTATTCTTAACTATTGTTTTGACTAATTTGCCCAGTACCGATGTTAGACTTACTGGTTTGTGATTGCCAGGATCACCTCTAGAACCCTAGATAACTGCTGCTGGGAAGGGAGACAAAGGGGAGGCAGGACTGACAGCAGGCTGGGGTTTGCCCAGTACCGATGTTAGACTTACTGGTTTGTGATTGCCAGGATCACCTCTAGAACCCTAGATAACTGCTGCTGGGAAGGGAGACAAAGGGGAGGCAGGACTGACAGCAGGCTGGGGTGTAGGGCCTTGGGTTTGGGTTACTCTAGGCAAGGTAGGGCCTTGGGTTTGGGTTACTCTAGGCAAGGTAGGGCCTTGGGTTTGGGTTACTCTAGGCAAGGTAGGGCCTTGGGTTTGGGTTACTCTAGGCAAGGTAGGGCCTTGGGTTTGGGTTACTCTAGGCGGGGTTAGGATGACAGAAGGGGCTTAGAGCAGGGCAGGGCGGGGGGAAGCACCTAGGACTCCTTCTCCCCAAGAGGAATAATACTGGCTATTCTTGGTCCCTGTCTTATCAGTCCTATGCTATGTCTTTGAGAACCAGTAAACCTTCTGTTCTACTTGGTGAGAGTCACCTCTGTCTGTGGATAGGAGTGCAGGTCCTGGAGACTCTCCCCCACTGACATAATATTCTGTATATCTTGTGGTCAGGAAGTAATGCTTAAGTGTTACAGCACAGAAGGTGCCTGTTACCTCATTTTCTTGTCTTTCAATTACTGGTAAAAGTGAATACAGGAGGTGCTAAGTTGGTCATTAGTGATCTTCACTGTATTTTTAACCAAAAGCATTTCCAGTCATAAGGAATCTATAATGGATGATGCTTAGATAAATGTTTATTCACTGCTATAAATCAACACTAATTGCATTCATTTAAAATTGTCAGACCAAATTAACCAGAGCAATGGTGTCTACAAATGCAACGTATCATGAATTTTCTTTGATCAACTTAATTTCCTTCCAAGCTTAGCAGCAAACTCCATAGTGGAAGAGAATATGCATTTCAACTAGTGATTAATCCCCTTCATTTTATAAGCCAGTACGAATGTATTGTAGAGGCCTTTCAAATTGTGAAATGCAGAGATGGTGTTTTGTAAATGAAACCATGTTTAAATATCTCTAACACCTACTAACTATTTTACTTTCATGTGGAACTGGTTCCAGGGCCATGTAATTTCTTATGTGCATGAAATATGCCCTTGAAATCCTCCAAATAGCAGGGATTGTGCCTGACAGCTGTCCAAACTGTGTATTTGATTTAATTTTGTAGGTACAATTACATTTTCTCACATTTGAAAAATGTAATTGAACCTCCACCCTTCAAATTCAATGCACAAACTAGGAAAATGTAAGTTTTGAGCAGTGCTCTTTTCCGTGCTGTGTACAACCAATTACTAAGATTCATTTTTTTGTTGCTGGCCACTATTTTATTACACACAGTACATTTTCAGGGATATACAAGCAATGAAAGGCTACTACAGCAGATTTAGAAGTATCCAAATTAAAGGGCATGGCAGAAAGAAATACTGGATGTTTTACTAACAAGTTTTGTACTAATTCAAATTGTCTCTGGTTTGATTATGTAGGTGGAGCAAGCTGCTGTGTGCAGCTGCTGTCTTGCAACAGATCAAAGTTGGTTTCACTGCAGCATGAAACTAGTAAATAGTAACATTTTAGAGTACACCAATACAGTAGTGTAATCGCTGCTAAGTGAAAGTCTCCCACTGTGGAGTCCGTGGGCTCCGTAGTTTACAATACTTAGGATGGTTGTGCTTGATCCCAGACAAGATGTTCTCAGCCTTAACATTAAACGGGTAGAGCCTCAGATCGGTGATACGTGGGACCAGGCAACTAAACAGTCTGTGCCACAGCTGCTTCCTGGTGCCAGCGTTTCGCAGTTCTCCGGGCACCGTAACAGGACGGACTCCAGCCTGTCCGCAAGCAACGCTCGGGGCGCGGCCCCACCTGTGCACGTGGAGCCCGCTCGTCCCGCCTACCAGCGTTACGGCTCAGTTCCCAGAAATACGGAAGCCCCTGGCGCTGGCACCGGGCAGATCACGGGGACCTCGCCTCGTTGCCCTGGTGTGCAGCGCGCGGCCGTGGCCCGGGGAACGCCTGCCTCGCGCAGCGCAGCGAGGGGGCCGG